AAATATAGAATCATCAGATGGACCACAATGCCATGCGCGCGAGCCTCATGGTAATGCCGCCCCTGAAGTGTTTTACAACACATTGGAATCCCCCACAGATTTAAATAGACCAACTTATCAGAATCTTTCTGAAGTCARCCATTACACATTGAAGCCTGTATATGAATCAGCAGAGAACTCTGCTCCACTCGTTGAGGCGAACAAACTTTACGAAAATTCCATCGCATGAGTGTGACATAGCATATCATCAAGTAGGACAGATTCCGGGTGATTGTGACAAAATTGATTAAAAAACACGACAAGGTGATGGTACGGAAGTAAAACGACATTCCTGGATCGGAATTACTTGCTTTGGCTATATGCGATTTACTGTTCGTCAAATGTAAATGCAGATTGATCATGGAATGAAGGCCATACGTTTGTTAGCCACTGGCTATTAAGGACCGTTATCAAACTATATGTAAATAATAATCAAAACGAAACAAACAAGGACTTCGTTATTTGCGACCCATTTTGCCGTATAAAACCTAAACGTCTTTCAATTTGCAGCTGCATAANAAAACGTCAAGAATGTCATGCACTGGAGCCCGTTGGTTATGATACCCCTGATGTATTTTACCACGTGCTGGAGCACCCAAATATAGAATCATCGGATGGACCACAATGCCATGTGCGAGAGCCTCATGGTAATGGCGCCCCAGAAGCGTTTTACCACACACCGGAATCCCCCACAGATTTGAATAGACCAACCTATCAGAATCTTTCTGAATTCAGCCATCACACACTGAAGTCTGTATATGAATCAGCATAGAACTCTGCTCAACTCGTTGAGGCGAACAAACTTTACGACAATTCCATCGCATGAGTGTGACATACCATATTATCACGTAGGACAGATTCCGCGTGACTGTGACAAAATTGTTTAAAAATCACGATACGGCGATGGTACGAAAGTAAAACGACATTGCTGAGTCGGAATTACTTGCTCTGGTTATACGCGATTTACTGCACGTCAAATGTAAATGCAAATCGATCATGGAATGAAGGCAATACGTTTGTTAGCCACTGGCTATTAAGGACCCGTTATCAAACCATATATAAATAATCATAGAAGTAAAATGAACAAATAATGAATAGGGGTCACGGACTTAGTTTAGCTGCCGTATTTGAGTAGGCCCACTTTGCCGTATAAAACATAAGCGTAACTATATCGCAGCATGGAAAGTTGACAAAAAAAACATATTTTACTGAAAAATAAATAGATCATTAGAAAATAGAAATTTTTAAAAGTGTTATTCTGTTGATTGTCAAAATATCAAGGACGGTGACGTTGTAGCTAGAGGAAAGCGAAAAATGCTGTCGCAAATAAAGCAATAATTTATCTTGCTGCCTTTAGTTCCCTAGGTAGAAGGGGTGGGCTAAAAATAAATAGCTTTGGTATCATTTCAAAATAAAGGCCAAAATATCTTTTTAGTTTTTAAGAGTTAATGTTTTTCATGAACCTCGTGCTTTCCCTTGAGTATTGTATTTTTTTCTCTAACGGTGTTATGATTAAAGGATTGCAATGWAGTACTACAAAGCTGTTTTTTGACCCTCCCCACTCTCCTCTCCCATCGGATGTACAGGATCGCGTGCTAAGGTTATGATTCGGAAGTAACATCGAAAGCCTCAAAACATCAGTCAATCTGAAGCTGACTTGGTAAAGAAAACACGAAACAGTTTCTAATCCGGCAAGACTTATTGCACTTGGNATTTGATACTATTACAACCGCAGTACAAATATATATTTCATATATATTCTCATACACATAAACGTAGCTATAACAACGCAGCATGGAAAGTTGACCAAAAAAAACATATTTTACTGAGAATTTTGCCCGAAACACGGCATGAACACGACGCAAACATGGTCACGTAAGGGCTACCCTATTGAAATAAAGGCATTCAAAAGATACATTGACACGTAGTACTTATTATTATTTACTTATTGTACAAATGAAAATTGTTATCGTTTTCTAACTTTTTGCTTCGTCCTAGCTATTCTTTATAGGTTAGCTTGAATCAACTGTTGCCTGTAACAGCCAGAAACATTGTTTTGAGAAACCAATGCTGCACTGAAAAAGATAGGCTAATGCTGAAACAGCAAACCACGTCCGTCACCGGGCAAAATGGTTTGAACTCATTTATATATACAAACACAATAAAAAACGCCACTTTTCTCGAAACCTTCTAATGATAAGATACACAGTATCAAGCTAGTCATGCATTATTTGTATCTTGTGAATAAGGCTTTAAAATAACGAGAGAGGAAAAAAAATAGAAAAACAAAGAAACTTTTCATAGATGTTAACTATCAACGTCTAATATTATTTTGTAGATGAAGTCGTAGATAAATCATAATTTTTCCTTGATTGTTTCGAAAACAAATAATCGAAAGTGAAACGCGAAACGCTTGCGTAGTTTATCAGGGATTAAAAAAAGCTTAAATCAAATCCTCGCACAAAAGTAAGGAAACGATTTCATTATCCCAATTAATCCGTAATGAAAAACAACAATATATACATATAAAACAGAAACGACAATATTGGTAAAAACCTTCTTACACAGTGTTTAAGTTTCCATCTTATTGAATTGAGAAAGAATACCAGGTGAATGTATTATTTGGCAATAAGTCAAGTRTTGTTTTGTTGATTGTCAAACTATCAGTGACGTTGTAGCAAGATGAAAGCGAAAGTGATGAAGCTAGCTTTGCATGGCGTTGCAAATAAATCAAATATTTCCATTAATTTATCTTGCTGCTTTTAGATCCCTAGGGAGAGGGTGTGGGTTAAAAATAAAGAGTTATCATTTTAAAATAGAGACTAGAATACTTATATTTTTTGAGCTGCTTTTTAGACGCGTGTCATTCTCTTGAGTATTGTATTTCTTTCTCTAACGGTGCAATGTTTAGAGGATACGAATGACGAAATACTACAAAAGTGTTTTATGACCCTCCCCACTCCTCCCTCCCATCGGATGTACAGGATCGTGTGTTGGGGTTATGACTCGGAAGTAATATCGAAAGCCTCAAAACATCAGTCAATCTGAAGCTGAATTTTTACGAAACATGAATCATAGTTGGTGTGAAATAATGTTGGTTGTTTGGTACTCGGTCGTTCTTCTCCTTCTTCACCAACCAGGAGATATCACTGGTAAGTATGATACTCTTTCATTCGAAAACATATATATATATATAAGGCCAAAAAACGTTAATTACTAGAACTACTTTCTCATTTATGGTTGATACGTTTTTTCATTTGTCTCGAAAAACATCTTAAAATATATGAAAAATGGAAATGTCTTTTAACGATAAATTTAAATACATAAACACCCTCAGAACAACTACATTTTTCAAAAACTAATGCAACTTAATAATTGATATGCAACTCATGATGTCATGACTGGCAACTGAAACTAAAGTACATAATCGGTAAGTCGCCGGAAAAAAATGGATGATGTTAGTTTATCTTACTTCACAAATACAGTAAACGCCCGCATAAAAGAAACTGCGGATTCAGAACATCCAGGCTGAAATTTGACCAATAAAGCACCTAATAGAACATTTTCGCATAATCCACTTTTAACATGCAAATGAGCACGTAAGTATCATAATCTGTCAATGAGGTACTATTCGCTAGACGTACTGCATGCCTCAGCTGTGAATCGATTTCATGTTCAAAGAAATGCAAAAAAAAAAAAAAAAAACCATAAAAATATTTGATTGTATGAATGTTTTGTACCTGCAACCTGTTCCCCACCTTTCTTATACACCGAATCGAAACATGGCGCCCAATTTGATTAACTATAGACCAAATTCAAAACTCGTACCGATGTGAGGCTTAAGTTGTGAACAAAGGGATCTGGCGTGACTCAAAGTAATCTGGCGTGATTCAAAAGTCACGAATCACGCCAGATTCCTTTGTTCACAACTTAAGCCTCACATCGGTGCGAGTTTTGAATTTGGTCTATTGATAGAAATGACAGAAAATCCCGGGTTCTGTTATGCGGGTGTTTATTGTATAATTCTATAAATGGTATAATTTCGATTCAGCTTCATTAAGGTGGCCTGGAGGAATTTATGGTCTTCCCAAACCTAAATCAGGGTGTCCCGAAGAATGGGGAAAAAATAGATGGGAAGAAAATGGAGCGATGTACCAAAAAACAACACAAGGACGTACCAGCAACGACAAATCAAATGACCTGCACTTGGCTGGGTACGTCAAACCAAGAGAAGTCAAGATTAATTTTTGTATCAGCAAAACCAATCCTGCTGGCCGTCAACCGTGGCCGAAAGGTATATATGACTAGGATTAATTTAGTATACGTATATTTCGAAAGAATCAGAGTTGCCCAAGTTATTTATCAGCTATGGTGTAATACAATATTCTTCTTTCTCATTCAATGCAACTACCGTTTTTTTACCTCCAGCCGTTTTCAGTTTTTATTTTTTTACCATCACTAGACAGGTTTGGCCTCGTTTATAAGTCATCCATTCATACAAATAACCCAAAAGTCCGTGGGATTTTTACAAGGCTAAAGCTATACAATAGAATCTTAAGTCAAGGAAGCAAATGAGAAAAAGTGGAGTGGTTATTTACCGGCCATCGTGGTTCCGGATAGAAGAAAAACTGTACCAAGTGTCTTATATGTACGTTTTTTTAAGGCAGAAGGCACAAACTTTTCGTATCAAGAACAACTTTAAGACGTTAAACAACTAATTTTTTTCGTTTACATTTCATCTTGTTTTGCAATTTTGTTGCTGTTTAGCTACTGGACTGGGGGTACGAGAATATATCGCCCTCTCGCGCAGCCAATCAGAACGCACGAGTTTTGGGATATCGGACTTGCTTTCTTTTTCTTGTCCATAGTAGTACCATTTATGTAGTTATTATTCAGTAGTTTTAGGGAAGTATCTAATGGTCTTATGATCTAGGAGAGGGGAGAAGTACGCCGATCATATCACTATCGCAGTAATAAACATGTCATGGGCAGGTTGACAAATTAAATTTTGTAAATATACGTGAAGCATTAAAACTTGACATAAACTTGATCAGTTATATAAGTAATGCAGGAAAATTATATACTCTACTATGCAAAAGAATAACGGCGTTGAAAATAATTTTCTTTTAATAGGAGAATACTGTATCTACAGCAGGCACCGTATTCGAAGCATGGTGTGGGGATTCATTCGAATGTATGACGTGGGAAGTAAAACCTCTGCTAGTAATACGTGCAGCAATACCTTCTTTGAAGTAAAATGGTATCATTATAATCGAAAAAGTTATCTTTATTCAGTACACTTTAAGTGTCAAACAAGAGGCAACAAAAAGATTCCAATCTCGTTGCCGATAACCAAACCATTTTATCTGCTGCCTTATGGATCACGTGACTGTTAACAAGTGAAATGGATGGTAGCTACAACTGAATGGATCAAAGACTACACGTATGAAAACCGCTACAAAAGGGGTAGACTACCACATGACATTAGGAGATACGGGAAGGAATTAACAATGTATTACTGCTATTATCAAAGTAAGTACAAATAATCAAAGCAAGAAACCAAAGATTAATCAAACATCCATTCAAAGTATTAATTTTTAATCACCGCGTTCGACTTCATCCTTTTTGTGTTGACTATTTTTATCTTTCTGCTTTGTTTTCAGGCTGCAACTACACTAGAAATGACAACAGGGGTGTTTTCCAGTCCCCTGGCTTCCCCGGTAAATACCCGGATGGACAGCTGTGCTCGTGGAGGATCACGGTACCTGATAATCACACCCTATTTGTGAACTTCACAAAATTATCTTTGTACGAGTACGATAAAGATTGTTTACAGCTTTACGAAAATGATGGTATGATTTTTAAACCAAAGCAAGCATTCTTTGGCCAACAGCCACCATTCACCATCACAACCACCAGAGATGTGATGTTCGTTTTTCGATCAGATGAAGAAAACAACAGCGATGGCTTCGCAGCAGAGTATACGTTATTCGAAACACCTGGTATGTTGGAGATTGATTGTATATTTTATTCATTTGTGTAGCTTGTATCAGTTTAAAAACAAACAAAAATGTTGACCGACCTTAATACTCCAGTTTCGAGTTCTCTGTTGCTCAGGGTTAGCCTCCATTTTGTGCACAATATTCACAAGTTCCAGTGAAGGTCGGTGGAATATCAAAGTGTCTGTATTGTTAAAGTTCTTCATCCTTCACTTTATCGTTGGTATCGTGAAAATTCTGACACTGAAAATGAGGCAAACCCTGAGTAAATGAGTCTGTAATCAAGGAAAACAGCGGTAATTTGGAACTCAAAAAGGTATATAGTGAATGTCAGGAATTTGCTTCTTTTCTTTCCGTTTGCTTACTTGTTTTTTGTTTGCTTTTTTGATTATTTAAAGTTTTACCAGGTCTTGTAAACAATTTTCATTAAAATTTTATATATGTGCTGTTTTGTTGTTAGAGAGAACCACCACAGCCCCACCCAAACCACCAACAACAACTACGCTTCCAACAACCACGACCCAATCAACAACAAAACTTATAACAACACAACCAACGACAACCAAACAACCAACAACTAAGCGGCCAAGCACTACAGAAGCAACAACAACATTTCCAACGACACCAAATATTAACTCGACAGCAAATGAAACGGTACAATGCATCCCTATCACAACTAAAAACAAATCTTACAATAAAGACAATATCCATTCATTAAAGAAAACATGTTTTTGTGACGAGACTTGGAGAATAGTTATCATGGTGTTACCGTTGGTCGTTTTTATCCTTATTGTCCTCGTCATTATCGACATTTTTTGTCGTTGCAGGTATGAACCAATCATATTTGACTCCTTTCATGCACAACAAACTCTGTCATTTTATCACTCAAGAAGATTATATATATATTTTAAATGTAGTTACCCTACTACTTTAATATAGACGCCAACAAATCGTAAAAAAAAGTCTTCCCATGTACAACCTTTAACAAAAAAAAAAAGTATTTTGGTCATGTGGACTGAAATACAAAAAACATTATGCGCAAGGTAAAGATGTTTATCAAAGCGTTCAGTCCATGACATTCCATTTAGGCACCTGCCTTTAAAAAGTTCATTCGTGTTTTCTGTCGACAAATCATGGAAAATCCTATTTTGTTGCGACCACAAATTGTACTTAAGATTCCACTCGTGTTATTGAATTGAGCACCGTGTCTAAAATTTGACTAGATGAGGAAGCAATAGATAGTCATGCATAATTTTATTTACTTGCTTATGAATTGATGATTTTGCATCTTCATTATATCGAAGATCCATAAAAGCCTTACAAAAAGGAACAAGTGGATCAAGGTATGAGTCACTCATGTTTTACACATTTACTGAAGCTTTATTAGGGGGTACCCATGTCCTCCGCCTCAATTTCACAACTGCCTATGTTCGCAATTTCCTATGTGTCGCTTGTCGACTAAATTTTACCCCTAACAGTACCTGGCTTACTGGCAATTATAACTGAATGTTATTGAATACCTTGTATGTCTATAATCTTGTGTGACAGTGCTAATGATGGGATGGTCGTAAACCCGACATACGAGCGGTAAGTCGAAACATTTTTATTCGTACATTTGTTTTGTAATTTTCTTCATTCGCTCATTTACTGGTATAATTTACTCATCAAGTCACACAATCCCTAAACTAGTATATAATTAATATGACGTTAAACATACATGTATATATATCCAAAATCCTTAAACATTTTCAGAAACGGTGTATATATATATTTCCTTATGCATCCATTCATTCTTTTATTCTAGAGGAAACATAATTCTTGACCAAACTACTGACACTACCACAGTCGCGTCAACCGCAAACACAGTTGATGACCAACCGCAGTCACGTGACGAGCCTCCCGATTACGAAGACGTCGATTACACCCAACTGAATGAAGTTCCACCTCCAAGAAGATCAATAAAACGTGAAGAATGTCATGCACTAGAGCCCGTTGGTTATGATACCCCTGATGTATTTTACCACGTGCTGGAGCACCCAAATATAGAATCATCAGATGGACCACAATGCCATGCGCGCGAGCCTCATGGTAATGCCGGCCCTGAAGTGTTTTACCACACATTGGAATTCCCCACAGATTTGAATAGACCAACTTATCAGAATCTTTCTGAAGTCAACCATTACACATTGAAGCCTGTATATGAATCAGCAGAGAACTCTGCTCCACTCGTTGAGGCAAACAAGCTTTACGACAATTCCATCGCATGAGTGTGACATAGCATATCATCACGTAGGACAGATTCCGCGTGACTGTGACAAAATTGATTAAAAATCACGATACGGTGATGGTACGGAAGTAAAACGACATTCCTGGATCGGAATTACTTGCTTTGGTTATACGCGATTTACTGTTCTTCAAATGTAAATGCAAATTGATCATGGAATGAAGGCCATACGTTTGTTAGCCACTGGCTATGAAGGACCGTTATCAAACTATATATAAATAATAATCAAAACGAAACAAACAAGGACTTCGTTATTTGCGACCCATTTTGCTGTATAAAACCTAAACGTCTTTCAATTTGCAGCTGCATAAATTGCTTCATATAATGCGAGGATCAGCTCAATTTGATACTATTACAACCGCAGTAC